TATACTCCAGACAGAACTCAAGGTTGCCATGGGTAACCAGAGTCTAAGCTTGTACCATCCCTAAATTTAATTTTACCCACAATTTCCAGGCAGTGGGGAACTGTGCTAAAGGTTACTTCTGGCCAGCGCTGAGACTTAGCCAGTCCTCACAGCATGCAATGCTCCGTACCAGGTGTCCTCTTACCCCAGGTCCCCAGATGGCCACCTGCTCGACCAACACCCTGGCTCTTCCCTTGGGACCACACAGGCTCTTCACATTTCATGAATGCAAAGGTGCTGTCTGGCTCTGGGGGCTCCAGGACCCTGTTCCTGAACACACTGGCACCCTTTCCAATTGGTCAGTATCCACGGGGAGCCAGCTGCCCCTACAGTATACCCCTACTCACCATTTCAGTTTTCCCGAGGCAACTGCAGTCCAAAAATACAGTATAGTAAATAGCATATGTGGAGAAAGAGACTGCAGTCCCGTAACTTTTATTATAGTGAGGTGTTATAATTGTTCCATTTTATTGCTACTGGTTGTGGCCAATACTTATGTTTAATTTATACATTAAAATTTATTGTAGATAGACGTGTGCATAAAAAATGAAAATGAGCAAAAAAACAAAACAACAAAACAAAACAGAAACAAATTTGCCGGGGATTTAGCTCAGTGGTTCGGTGGCCTGCCTCGCAAGCACAAGGACCCGAGTTCGATCCCTGTTACCAAAAAAAAAAGAAACCCAACCACACAAACAAACAAAAAAAACCAAAAATGAAAACAAAGCTTTGGTGCACAGGGAGGGGAGGGGCGTAATAGGAGGGGGAGAATAGGATAAAAGAAAATTTATTAAAAAAGAAAGATCTGCAAGCATAGGAAGAAGATGGCAGAGGCAGGATTCATTCCTGCCATGGTTTCAGGTGTCCACTGGAGGTCTCAGAAAGTAACCTCTGGAGATAAAAGGGGACCCTGCAGTTTGAATATCACCCTAGTTTCTGGGTTGAACACTACCACTTGCCTCTCTTGTGACTGGCTTGCAGGGTTTGAGGCTCTTCTCTTTCCCTCCAACTCTAAGGCCTTTCCTCAGGTGCAGGATGGGCTGTGCTTCCCTGAGGCCAACCGGTGGGGTGTTAAAAGCTACTTTTGACTGAATTCCTACCCTGTGCCAGATGCTATCCTCAATTCATCAAGTAAATCGTCTCTCATCCATCACACAGGCCTATTAGGGAAATATGCAGAACCAGCCTCCAGTGGCTGAGGTAACTTGTCCACAGTCACGTGGCTAGTAAGCAGCCCTGGAAGCCAGAGCTATCTCTCTCTGAGGTTTGTGTCCTGTGCACTATGCTCTGTTCACATTTATTTATGTATGAAAATGTCCAAGCTGTGTTTTTAAAAGTGAAATGTTGGCCCTTTTACTTTTTTGAAAAGCCTGTTTGTTTTTGTTTTGGTGTATGGGTTTCATTTAATTAATTCCACATTTCGTTACCAATTTGGAACAATCTGTCCTCAGGGAAAATATCTGGTTTACTTATAGAAAAAACTAGCAGAGGGAGTGACTGGGATTACAAAGTATTCCTTGTAGGAACTAATCTAAAAACCTTCCCTGTTCTTCCTGCACCAAACAGAAGTACACAGAACATTCCAGAAAATCCCATCTTCCCAGAGTGGTTGTGATAGAGCTCAGAAACAGAATTTTCTTTCATGTGTTACCAGCCGGGCCTGCAAGATGGGACAAGTGACATCAAACACCAGTGGTACCCCTACTGCTTCTAGAAAGTTCTCTGGAAGTTCGCACAAGAGGAAGCTGTCACCACTCAAAAGAACAAGGACTTTAGAACTCTTTGGGGAGCCTACTAGCTAGACCAGCTACTAAGAAGGCAGGAACAGGATCTGTGATTTAGGGGCAGTCTTAAGTTTAGGCCGCCTACTGAATCTGGGATATAGAAGAGTTGCCATACCCATCCATGGTATGAGTTTTCTGTTCTTTCCTCAGGGATGAACATTGCAGATTGACCCTAAACTAATTTTTAAAATAGCCAACCATGACCTCATCTTCCACATTTTGCACCTGCTCCTCCCACAGTTAACACATGTGGTTCTCAAAAATACTTACACTGCTCCAAAGTTTCCAGAGGAACTTGTGTCAGGGAAAAAGCAGTCTGAAAACTAAATCGACATAAGGTGAACAGGTTCAAAGGAACATCCTGTGTTAGTTTCCTGAGACTGATGTAGCAAAGTACCTCAAACTGAGTGACTGAAGCAGCAAACATTTATTATCTTAGAGTTCCAAAGGCTAGAAGTTGAAGAATAAGGTGTGTAGGGCCGGGGATTTAGCTCAGTGGCAGTGTGCCTGCCTGGCAAGAGCAAGGTCCTGAGTTTGAGAAAAAGAAAAAAAGAATAAGGTGTGAACAGGGCAACACTCTCCTGCTGCTGGGGAGGACCCGCTCCGATCTCTGTCCCCTAGCTTCTGATAATTCTTTGGCTTATGGTAGCACAACTCCAGTCTTCACATGGTGTTCTCCCTGTGTGCCTTTTATTTGTCTTTTATGAGGACGCCAGTCAGATTGCATTAGGGGCCCACTGTATTCCGGGATGACCTCATCTTAACTAATTACATCTACAGGGGCCTTACTTCCTGATAAGGTCACATTCTGAAGTATTTGGGTTTAGGATTGCAACACATGAATTGTGAGGAACACGATTCAATCTATAACATCATCTAAGATAGTTTTGAATTAAAAAATCAAACTTCAGGCTCAGAGCGGACTAGATTTCCCAAAAGAGAGTCTCATATTGTGCATGATTCATCCTGCTGGCAGGGTGGCCAGGAAGTTGGCATGTTGACCCCTAAAATCTGCTGCTTACAAATAAGTATGAATAAGGAACCATGTAGTGAAGAGGCAGTCACCTGAGAAGCAGGGGAATGGATACACTGGGGTCTCTCCACATAACCTTAATGCCTTCTCGCTACTTTTTAGGACAAAAACCAGAGGTAGGTGCAAAATTTTAGTCCTAATGGAAACAACAAACAAAAAGGGACTATTTAAGAACAATAAAAAAATGGCATCTGTACAGAATGTGTACAGACTTTTTTCTTGTCATTATTTCTTAAATGATACAGTATAAGAACTATTTATGTAACATTTAGAGTGCATCAGGCATTATAAATAATGATTTATAGTATATTGAAGGATGTGCACAAGTTGTAGGCAAATATTACACAATTTTATATAGAGAGAATCGAGCATTCTTGGATTTCGGCATCCAATGGGGGTATTGGAACCAATCACCGTGGATACCTAAATCTCAGAATGCCGCTAGCCCTAAGGCCCTGCCTAGACATCTGCAAGTTTGCCAAAGGGATTTTGCCATGGTTTTTGTGCGGTTTGTTCCCCAGAGGATCATGTGGCAATGCTGGGAAGTGGTGTGGACTTTTAAGAGGTGGGGTCTAGTAGGAGGTCTTTAGATCACCTGGGGACAACTGATCTCTCAGAAGGGCCTGGGGTCCCCACAGTCTCCCTGTGGCTTCCAGTCTGTCGGCATGCTTCCTACTTCATACCTGTGTTCCCGTCAGGACACTGACCACCAGAAGCACAACCGAAGGGGCTACCAGAACTGTAAACTACATAAACTCTTTTCTTCATATGTAGACTTCCTTAGGTATTTCGTTATAGTAATAAAAAGTGGACTCATGATTCTATAGAAAACCTGAACTGCCATCTATAAGATGAGGTGAAGAGTCTTGTTCTCCTCCTCCATTTGGATGGGTGGAAGCCTCATTAGTTTGTTCCAGTCTTTTTCTCCCCTGGTGTCAGGGATTATACTAAAAAGGTACTTTGTGCAGTTGTAAATCACCCATGAAATTATGTACCAGGCCACAGTGGTTAGGGGTTACAGACTGTGGGCCCCGAATCACATATGGTTCTGTTTCTCACTTAGATGAGCTTGGGCAAGTTACGTATGGCCAAGGTTTCTCATCAGAGCTGTGCTCTAGGGAGATGTGGTAGGTATTAAGTGAGACACTGGCTGGCATATGTCCTCTATGGCAGACACTGTTGAGTAAATGTTTCTTCTTATAACTGTTCAAGAGGGCTAGGAAGTGAAGCTTGAAAAATCAAGCTCGTGTCTTCTAACTTCTTAACTCTGTGGTTTTCATGAGGCATGGGACCAGGACTCTGGGAGCATAGAAGAGGGCTTGCATCACAGATATGGGATATTTAGCTCATGCACAATCCAAAGAATGACCCTTGACCGTCCTGGGAGGCCCTGGAAGATCACATCTACCCCTTGGAGCAGCCTGAAAAGGGTGTTTCTGTATACTTCAGGGGAATTAAGCTACACTACATATTATGCTAGCAGAGTGATTTATGGTGGGGTCCTTGGGTCACATGGTATTAGTTTGACTTCTGGAGGGACTAGAGACTGAGTAACTGAGGTCACCCACACAGGCTCTTCATGCTCACATGACCAGCCCAAAGAAGAACCCTGACACCATGCCTTGAGTGAGTTCCCCAGGTCAGCAGTACTCTACACGTTGTTACATATCACTCTGGAGCTCACCCTGCACACTTTAGCTTTGCTGATTTTAATCTCTACTTCCACTGTAATGAACCATAACTATCACAACTCTTTTGAGTTCTGTGAGCCCTTCTCGTGAGTCCCTGAATCTGACACTGGTCTCAGAGACCCTCTGAAACAACAGAGCTGTCCAAGCTTAACCTACTACCATGGTGGGTGACCACAGGAGTAGAAAATAGAACTGTGCTCAAAAGCATTCAGTGAATGTTCTGAAGGGGATTCAAGCAGATATGCTAAGATGGGATTTCTGGACTGTGAGGCTGGTGATATGGGACAGACTGATGGAAATGCATCCAGGACTGACCTTTGGTGCTTCAATTCAATATGTTTTAAGATAAAGGCTGTCAGCTTCTTAACATCAGAGGCCAGAACTCTGCAGCGCCAGATCCAGATACAAGTGCACTGCAGGGTCCTGTGTGCGTTTGCTGCGTCCCCCACTTACCTGGCCCCACTGACGTCCACTCCGACCATCAGCTGCCCGTTCAGGGAGAGGATCTCGTCCCGCAGCCGGACCTTCCCGCTCTTCCCCGCTGGGCTGTTCTTCCTCAGCTCTGTCACCCAGATGCAGCCCACATCCAGCACAGGGCCCTGGTGGGTCTTCCTCTTCTTGCCTCCTCTGCGCTTTTCACCATAGTCCCCAAAAACAGGGATGTTCCCAAAACTGAGGCCCACAGTCTCTGTGTCCCCCAGCTGCTTGGTGAGGTACACAGTACAGATCTCCATTTCTGGTGGGCTGTGGTCAGGGGCAACTGGATTCTCATCCACAGCCAAGTTGAGCTGGATGTACTCCTGCAGCTTCCGGATGGCTGCCTGGCAGAGCCGCTGCTCGGGCCCATCCCCGCCCTCCCGCAGGCTGTTCTGCAGCCACTGGCAGAGGAGGGGGAGGTGCAGCCCAGCATTGTCCTGGGTGATGGGCATGGTGCTCACTCCAGGACACCGGCATCATGGGAGGTCCTGCTCTTGAGGGCCAGACCCCGCAGGGCCCCATGTCCCTTGGGAATCCTGGTGGTCATCAGCTCTGCCTGTGTTCATGATCAGGCCGGTAGATGAGCCCAGGAATGCCTCCTTGAGATGGGCTGTTTGCCTTGGCAAGAGGAGGACAGGACACAGTTAGAACAACAGTGAGACAATATCTTCAGAATACTCAACGAAGGAAGTCAAGTATCCAACAAGTCCCTGCTTGGTTCATTTCACAGCAAGATCCGTGCAAATGACATGGAAATTGGGTACTCTTCCAGCAGCAACAGCTTAGACTCCCTTGGGCTCATTCACACCTGGGAGAGGAAGAGCAAAACACAAAAACTTCCAGTTATAACAGTGAGCCTCTGACATAGAACACACGGCCCTCCATACTACAGAAGGGCCAGGTTTGCTTTTCAGACACCAGCTACGAGCCAGAAACCTCTTACTTCCCCAGTGCAGCTCCTGTATGCTATATGTGTGTGTGCGCACACACACACACACACACACCCTTCCCTCAGACAAAAGTCTGCTCTAGGAAGTTTCGCTGAGCAGCACAGAAGTAAAATGTCTTTTGCCTGGATACCCTCACCAATACACCATCAAACTCGTCTCCACCCAGGAGGCTGCATACAAAGACCTCGTAGAAGGCTGCGGAGGGGCCTACAATGTCACTTCTACTGATAATGGATGAATTTGTTGGCAGGGGAATTAAAGAAAGTTGGTAGATTATAATAGCATTTCATTAAATTACCTTAGTAACTGAAGCATTTCTTTTGAATGCTAAGGCTGTCAACTTCAAGCTACTCAAAATTAATTTAAATTATCATGGATATTTGCCTGAGCTAGGGATCTAATTGGAGAATTATATATAGTTGACAGTTGGCCTGGCTATTGCAGTAGGTCTCCGAGGCCACAAGGGCTGCTTGCAGAAGAAATGGATTAATCTCAGGGCTGGGGATTTAGCTCAGTGGTTCCACCACCTACCTTGTGGGCACAAGGACCCAAGTAAGATCCCTGGTATCAAAAAGAAAAAAAAAAAAATCATGATCAGGCCGGTAGATGAGCCCAGGAATGCCTCCTTGAGATGGGCTGTTTGCCTTGGCAAGAGGAGGACAGGACACAGTTAGAACAACAGTGAGACAATATCTTCAGAATACTCAACGAAGGAAGTCAAGTATCCAACAAGTCCCTGCTTGGTTCATTTCACAGCAAGATCCGTGCAAATGACATGGAAATTGGGTACTCTTCCAGCAGCAACAGCTTAGACTCCCTTGGGCTCATTCACACCTGGGAGAGGAAGAGCAAAACACAAAAACTTCCAGTTATAACAGTGAGCCTCTGACATAGAACACACGGCCCTCCATACTACAGAAGGGCCAGGTTTGCTTTTCAGACACCAGCTACGAGCCAGAAACCTCTTACTTCCCCAGTGCAGCTCCTGTATGCTATATGTGTGTGCGCGCACACACACACACACACACACCCTTCCCTCAGACAAAAGTCTGCTCTAGGAAGTTTCGCTGAGCAGCACAGAAGTAAAATGTCTTTTGCCTGGATACCCTCACCAATACACCATCAAACTCGTCTCCACCCAGGAGGCTGCATACAAAGACCTCGTAGAAGGCTGCGGAGGGGCCTACAATGTCACTTCTACTGATAATGGATGAATTTGTTGGCAGGGGAATTAAAGAAAGTTGGTAGATTATAATAGCATTTCATTAAATTACCTTAGTAACTGAAGCATTTCTTTTGAATGCTAAGGCTGTCAACTTCAAGCTACTCAAAATTAATTTAAATTATCATGGATATTTGCCTGAGCTAGGGATCTAATTGGAGAATTATATATAGTTGACAGTTGGCCTGGCTATTGCAGTAGGTCTCCGAGGCCACAAGGGCTGCTTGCAGAAGAAATGGATTAATCTCAGGGCTGGGGATTTAGCTCAGTGGTTCCACCACCTACCTTGTGGGCACAAGGACCCAAGTAAGATCCCTGGTATCAAAAAGAAAAAAAAAAAAAGGATTAATCTCAGAGGAGAAGCTTTTGGATCTTCACACAGATCCACCATGGCAGATGTCAGTGTCAGAATTTGTAACTGCAAATTTCTGGTCTCTGTCTTCTCAAGGGCAACATTTTGCTCACTGGAATATTTCATGGGATATTGTGGAAGAAGCCCACTTTTCACAGTACGGGTTGAATATCCTTTTTCTGAAATCCTTGAGACCAGAAGGGTTTTGGATTTTAGGTATTTTTAGATTTTAGAATATTTTGCAAAACAGAAGGAAGTTTTTTGGAAGGAAACATGTCTAAATGCAAAATTCATTTATGTTTCCTATCCACCTTCTATATATAGCATGAAGGTAACTGCACAATATTTTTAATAATTTCAAAGTGTTGAATTTTCCACTTGTAGCATCATACTAGAGCTCAAAAAGTTTTGGATTTGGGGTGATTTTGGAATTGAGGTAGGGAATATACTGATGAATTAGACGCTATCACTATATTTGATGACATCTCTGTTGGATCCAAGAGACCTGAGAGATCATCTAGCTCAAAATTCTCATTTTACACTTGATCTTAGCCAAAAGGCTGAGAAGCGATAACTTTCTCATTTTAAAGATGAGGAAACAGCCATAAAGGTTGTTAGGTCTGACTGAAAATGTTTTGATATATTCCTAAGATTTGAATATGTCTGTGTGTGAAGTTACTTTCAATGAGAAGCATTGCTTATTTTGGCCAAAGGAGACAGTCAATCTTTGTACATGTATGGATTATCTTTTCTTTGATCTTTCTTGCATTTTCTTTTAATAGCTGTGTGATTATGTAAATGATATTTGCTAAGCTTTTGATTTGGACCCAACTAATAGCTGACACTCAAGTTCTTTGAAAACTCAAAACACTATATTGGAAATCTCTTTATGGTGACTGAGTAATAAGGTCATTTATTATTGATGTGGCTTCTGACACTTCTCACATCTGTTATTGTTTCATGTTAAATCACTTCCTGAGAAGGCAGGAAAGTGTTTTCCACCTTAGATGGCACAGTTTATAGTGATTTTCTCAGACAGAAAGTGAAGTTCGGGGAAGAGAGTGAAAGGGCTCACTTTTCTATATTTATGAAGAATGGAGGGTGAAAATTTTCTTTGATGGAGAGAGCCCGTAGGTAATGGAATTCAATGAACATCTCTCTAGGGGCCTTACGATGTGCCAGGCACTGAGCAGAACTCAGAGAGGGACTCTCTTAAGGAGACGCATCTATAGCAGCTGGTGGCTGGTGAATGGTGTCTCTATGGTAAGCAAAGGAGGAGCCAGGCCTTCTCACCTGGAAGTTTGAGGAAACCTGTCCCTGGAGGAGATAGATACTGGTTATTTTTTTCTCAAAGGAAAGGGAGAGGAGACTCCACGTTGTAGGATGCAAAAACCATGATTCCCTTCTGAATCTTTATGACCAAGAAGGAACGAACCAGTGGCCAAGCTTAGAAATGGTGTGGGTAAATGCAATATCTTTGTGGTGTTGATTGGCTCTTTCTCCATTCAGCAGCATCGTCAAGGGTTGTTCTAGAATACAGAGACCTTCTGAGTGTAAGTTAGGCTGATCCAGGGACATGAACATAGATCTGAACTTCTAGGTAGATAAGCTCATATACATATGTTCAGAACTCCTATACAACTTTCCAAGGGTCTTTTCAAACACAGCCTCCTAGTTGCAAATGAGTTTGAGGGGTTGTCCTGGGCTTGCTCCTTCTAAATCAGCATGCTGCCTGCCTGTTTCTGACAACCTCACGCTATTGAACTAGTTCCTACCTTACCCAAGCCCACACTCCATCAGTGATCCCTGTTCTAACGGCTACCAATGAGCCTAATGTGATGGATACGCACATCGTTTGTGGACATTGTAGCTGCCCACCTGCAATCCATCCTCTCTTTTGTTTTGTGGGAATAGCAATGTATTCACCTACAGAGAATCCTCTCTGACAGGTATGGATAGCTATATGATATAATCTTGGCCAATGAGACAGAAGTAGCAACTGCTGTGTGGGGTTGACATCAACACTCCCTAGAGAGGAAAGCAGAAAGTAAAAATAAACCCACACGTTGTTTTTACTTTTATGTGGATCTTTCAAAATCCAACCATTTAACTGAACTGAACCTCAAATAAACATAGAATTTCATCCCTAGAAGTGGGAAAACTAAAATTAACAGAATCTGTACAGTCGACTTGGTTGAGCAAGAGAGGCTGAGAGGCAGCTGTCAAGGATTTAGATGTGGCAGATGGGAAAGTGGTGACCCTAGTAATGTAATGTGAAATAATTTGGTCAAACTGCCAATTGCTTTACCTTGAAAAGCTACTTTGTGTTGCTGAGGTTACAGAGTTAGGGGGACTGGGAGAATAAATTAGAGTGTTGGAAAGTGCTTTGTCTCTAGCAGCAAAAATCTGGGGCACCTCCATTCTGTGGGCAATCAGAGATGGACAGACATATTACAACACACATTAAGTAGCATATGTTAGTTATAATATAATCGAGAGAGATGGGCACAGCTCATGAGTTAGAAAGTAAAGGATACAAATCATGATGAATTGACCAGAAACACATAATGGATATTTACTAATATTTGTGAGAGAATCATATTGCCCTAAACCCCCAAACCTTGCTTGCAACTGCCCGGGATGGTTCAATTCCTCTAGCGATCTCAAAACACTTCTTTTTTCTTCCTTTTCCCTAAAATGTGCTTGGAAATGTGTTTCCTCCTTTGAGAGTCCTTCCCACATCTGAGAAAGAAGTGGCCATGGGGAGAATAAATGAGGAATAACTTCCCAGAAAAAGGCAAGGATGGCTGTGAACAAAGACTCATTCCACAGAGCAAGGAGCTGCCACGTTGGCCAGCCCGGGGACTCTGGCTCTTCTTGCCCAAGAAGATTTGGTCATCGCAATAGATAGTGGCTGCTGTATGTTTGGCCTTTCCTTTCATAAATGGAAGCTTTCATTGTAGTTGTTTCACCCCTTCCCCGGAGTTGTATGTTGTACATATTGGGCATTGTTGCAGGAAGTCCTGTCCACCTGATGGAGAGGCCCACATAGTACCCATCTGGATGTGCTGACTGGATACCCTTGGGGCCATCTCTCTCGGGGGAATGGGAGGTTAGGCCATGCGTGGAAAATGAATTATATCTGAGTAACCAAATAAGGGGAAGCCGGACATGGAGGTGCACGCCTGTAATCCCAGCATTCGGGAGGCTGAGGCAGGAGGATCATTGTGAGTTTGAGACCCGCCTGCACTACACAGCAGGGCAGTATGAACTACATAG